ACATTCGTGTTCGAATATTCGAATAGTGTGGATCTTGTATATTCGGCTATTCGAATTATCGAATAATTGGGCATGAGCAAATATTCAAACATTCGAGTTTCAAAATACGTACGTTTTTTCGAATATTCGACTATTCGAATGACAAAAATCGAATTATTCGAATATACCAGTCGAACATAGTTACACAATCTCAGTCATACTCGATGAATCTGCAGATATTCGATTGAACAAATATTCGATGATTTTGCAGACATTCGAACGATCGAATATTATTCGAATCTCAGTTCCAAAACCATTCGAACTTGATTATTCGAATGTTGATTTTACAAAATACTCGACTATTCAAATAATCGAATAAATTCTTTTTTTTGAGTATTCGACTGTTCGAATAATCGAATAAATTCGTTTTTTTGAATATTCGGCTATTCGAAAAATCGAATAAATGCGCCCTTTCGAATATTCAAATATCAAATTTTCGAATTGTTTGAAATGTCCGAATATCTATTCAAATACGAATATTCGGTCCCAACTATAACGCTAGCACTGGAAAACCCACATTAGGTGGTCCGAAAGTCTTCCAAAGAATTTTTTAGTCCCTTTCGCTGTATTTGACAAGACGCAGGAATCAGTTCTAGCTTTACCTCAAACAACTTTTACAGCTGATGCGTTTGAAAGTTGGCCGTTGTTCAAACAGCACGTCAATTTCGAATTGTACCGTGCTTTCAGCCTTCTACCTTAGAAATATAGTACAAAGTCCCATACTCTCAGTTCTAAGGCCTTTTATTTTGGCATCAGGATTGTGTTATTAGGTCGGTGCAAAATAAACGCAATTTTTTCTGCCTAGAATGTAAATTGGTATAAATCAGTTCTAAGAAATATTTGACATATACTGCGCAGATATTTCGATGCATTTCGTCGAATTGCTGAGAGGAATTTTCTGCTGTGATCGTTTCGTCCGGGTTTAGAAGGCCTGGTGGACCATACCCGCTGCAAACCACCAAGTCATAACCATAATGAGGTTGGCGGGTGTTGCCGGCACGAAACATTTGGAACCTACGTTGTGCTGTGCATTCGTCGATACATTCCTGACCCCATACTCCGTTATGCTTCGAACGTTTTGAGTGACAAACGCCAAATTGTATAAAACCTCGTGCGCAAGCACAATTTATTGCAAAGAATTGTGTTGAAACTGAAAAAAAACGTTGCGGTTTTTACATCAGTAGCCCAGATTTTTCCAGCGCTTGGACCTATATTAAGAGAAATTTATTCGACGGTTGTTCTAGCAGTTTGAACGATGTTTGATGAGATAGTAATGTAGTCGACTTTCTCCACTCTGAAGGTGGCTAAACTACCGAAACGTCAATCGATTAAATGAAGAAAGTTACATCTCGTTCCAAAATTTCCTACCTCCTCACTTAAGGTAAAGCGATGACGGCGGTTGATTAGGGAGAGGTCCCTGATGCTCAGTGTACCACCGCCTGTGGCATTAGCGGCTTATGGTACCCTTCTTATTGGGTTTATGCCCTCTTCGCATGAGGCCATCTTACCGTGTATAAGACCGATCCTGTGTCTCTAGCGCAAAATTTTTCTCTTTTCTAACTATACTTTCCAAATACAGATCGCCTATTGGGTGGAATTTAATAGGCCGCATGAAAATTTAACAACTGACATCGCTGATACAATCCAAAGTTCGCGAACAATATCTCTTACTTTCCTCAAACTTTCATGTGACACAACCATTTAATACTAGATTGCTTTTACTTAACTCCATCAGAAAAAGCATGACGGTTTTCCTCTGAAGGCAAGTACTAATAAAAATCATGGACGCGCCTGAGTTAGTCTATTCGTTGCCTTTCAACCACAACCACTGACGTGCAGTTCCTCTCATTCACATACGAGCTGTTTCAAACCTGCTTAACAGCAAAAATAAATCATAGAACGAAGTTCGTCCGCATCTATCGTTCTGAATTTGTAGCCACATTATTAATCAGATGCGCTGCTTGGACTTGGTAATCCTCTTGAAAATCAGTTTATTTTATTTACCATCAAAATAGAAATAGGTGT